CCAACAGTGACTTACAGTCTTTAAAACTTGGGTCTAACACTCACACAGTCAACTAAACAGAGAAACCAAGAAATAAATCAACAATACAAACAAATGAAACACCACTAATAATGACAATAACACACACAAGAAGCACAAAAAGGAAGAAAAAACTCCTGCAAACAAACAAACCAACAAACTGAAAAGAACCCCAAAACTCAACAACCTCAGCAAAAGAAAGACAAAGAAAGAAAACACACACTGTTCGTATCCTCACAGGGAAACCAGTCACACTCCCAGTGTCCTAATGGCCTGTTTCACCACTCTGCTAAAGCGTTGACAAAGCCGCAGAGCAGAATCAGTGGCGGTACAAAAACCAAACAAACAAAAACAATGAAAGTAAAACCACTCAATGTTAAAAACAAGGACAGGAGCATAGAGTGTGGACACCGAGAGACAACAGCACAGACCACATAAAGGTGTGGAGACACAGCAAGGAAGTGGAGGCCTGGAGTATAGAACAGGCCACCACCTTGATGCACAGCCTGGCAAACAATTACCAGAAAGCACAGACACAGCTTCTCTGCAACAGCAGGAGGGTGAGAGCCACCAGACCGTGCCTCGCTCACTCCACAAACACCAAAACTGCATAAGCAAAGGCTTGTGGCAGACAGTATCACTCCGTATTTACTATCGGAGGACGAGCTGGCTCTGCTTACAATTGGTTGGAACCCAAACACAAAGAGACACAGCATCTGAACCAGCCACGCCGAACTGCAGACCATGCCACTGACCAAGGCTATTAAATAAAGACAATGTCCCATCACTGAGGTACAACACATGCACACTTAAACCTGGTCTGCACGGAAGACTCAATAGCTGGTACGCTATCATAGAACATGGGGATGATTTGATTCCTTGAGGCGCACACGGCTGGCGTTGGGTCATGCTTTACGCAAAATAAAATTTGAGTTATAATCACCATACATGACGGCACGGTGGTGCAGTGGTTAGCAATATCGCCTCACAGCAAGGGTTCCTGGTTCGAGCCGGGGGTGGGAGGTTCGAACCTTAGGGAGGGGAGCCCCTCTGTGCGGAGCTTGCATGTTCCCCGTGTCAGCGTGGGTTCTCTCCAGGTACTCCAGCTTCCTCCCACCATCCAAAAACATGCAGGCTAGGTCAATTGGTGACTCTGAATTGCCCGTAGGTGTGAGAGCACCTGAGCAGACACCATTCATTTCTAGCACTCCAACATCGCAGCTCCAGTTACATTGCACATGTGTCATTACCGCATAGCTCCCATGGCATCATAGACCTTGTCCCAGTTTTCATTTAATAGCCTTGCCACTGACATGGAAGCCAGGTAGGAAATGCTCATCCAAGTAGTGGGCACCACCTGCCTGATACAGCACTCACCAGCGCCGCCCAGTAATTAGGGCTCCGGGGAATCACCCCATGCAGCCTGAGGATGATGGGCAGAAAAAAACAGAAGAGAGAGCCCACTCTGCCACACTAACATCTGCTAATTAGCACAAAACACAAAATACATCTAAGGCTGATGTGATTAGTTTGAGTATCTGGTCATACATTTGACCTGACGATGGCGCTGGATGAAAAGTCAGGGGATCAACAAAGTTAATACAATTCATTATCTGGGGATCGTCAATGTCTGCACAAAATCTAATGGAAATTCCTCCTATAGTTGCTGAGATATTTCAGTAGAAAAAGAAGGGATGAAAAGCAGAGGAGGATGTAATAAGATACAAGGAGAATAATCAAGATTCCAACATGCAGGGAGTCCCAGGGATTTCGTCTCTTGCCTGTATCCATCACAAAGTTGTCAAGAAGCAGGTGACATTAATTATAAATGGCCTCTGTGATGGCTGTTTGTTTAGCGCGTCTGTTAAATTGGACCCTGGATTTGAAGAGGAATGGGTCAGTGAGGTCACACGTGAGCGCAGCGTCACTCTTTCTTTCCTGCTCCAGAGCTGGCACTCAAAGAATAATGAGAGGAGTGGGAAGACATAGGAGCAAGGGAGAGAGAGAGAAAGTGAGTGAGAGAGACAATACAAGAGGGGCATGTTGAATAAAACATAACGGAGAGAAAGAGATGGATGACTGGGGGAGATATGCACTCCAGTGTATGCAAACACGATGCATGCTCCCGTACTCTACACATATCGTTGCACATGTATTAACACGTGAGTCTGCTCAACAGCAACTTTTGGTTTTCACCTCAGACCACGATCACCAGGGAAATTACCAACATCTTAATCATTTACACATCTAGCTGCAGCTCTGCCTGTCAGGACAGGCTCTCCTTCCACTCTCCCCACCCCTGGGTGAGTCTCCCTGGACTGGGCAGTCCAGCTCCTGCCCCTGTCCAGCACCAGGGACCAGCTGGTCTGAGCAGGCTCTTATAATACCTCCGTTATTAGACTTGGGAAATGGAGACATTTAACACGGCTGCAGCTGAGACTAAAGCCCCACGGCTCTGTCTGCAAATTACATTGCTCTCACAAACAGTCCCATTGAAATAAGGCCACTGAGGAGGGACTTTGCGTTTTGAAAGCATAGCCCTGATGGCCTAGTTTCAGCAGCTCTTATCATTGTGTGTTTGATCATCGCTGTACAAGAATCGCACATCACAAAGTTTGACATCAAAAATGCAACAGCTCTAAAGGCTCATAACTCCTCCTGAGCGAACTAAACGTTTTTATAAATCTTCCAGCTTTTATTTTTTCATTGTAGATATGTATCTGTAAGACTGTTCTTCAATGTGCCAAAAACTTCACAGCCTCTCTGCCCTCAGTTTCTCAACAGTTTCCATCTAATCCTTCTGTCCTCTTTGATTTTCACTTGTCTGCTTTAGCTGATTTGTGTAGAGCCTCATTCTGGTCGTTGGCTGTTTGCTGTTGTCTAGACTCGTGTGTTTGTTTGCAGTTAAGCCTCTCCTATTGATCACAGCAGATAGCATCCCATTTTGTTTGATCAAGTGTGCACGTCGGAGGAGTCCCTGATTCTGATCACACTGCTGAGGAAAACAGCAGTGATAGCCCTAAACCTTTGTGTTTTTTAAATGCATGTGTGCATATGCCTAAGTGTGTCATCTGTACATGCACAAATATATGAACATGCTAAACCCAGGCTAAAAATTAATTAATTACTTTTTTGCCTATTATGTTGATAAAAGTCATGAGCAGTCCAACCAAAGAGTGTCTTTTCCTTATCAGATTGTTCCATTAGACAGATTTATAGAGCCTGAAAATATCCAGGGAAAAAATAGGCCAATGTATGTATATTTCAATTTACTATGTATTATTTTAGAGGTCCAGTGTGTAGGATTTAGTGGCGAGGTTGGAGAACTTCTCCCATTTGTGAAGCATGTAGGAGAACTACAGTGGAAAACCCAAATGGCCCTATCTAGAGCCAGAGTTTTTTGTCTGTTCTGGGCTCTTGTAGAACAAAATGGTGGACTCTGTGGCAGAGGACCGGCTCTGTATGTAGATCAGGCCCCCAAGAAGTGCAAAAAGACTCTTTCCCATTGAATTACTTTGGGAATGAGACTTTTTTGAGTGTCATATCCCCCACAAAATAGCTTGTTTTACTAACAGGATTTGATCCATTTTGTCTAATAACATTTGGAAAGTGTAGCAGACTTGCAAGATTAAATCTTTTTTTTAAAACCATCCAAGTTAGCTAAGCGCTAAACTGGAAGTAATGGAAGTATCTAGTACACTTGCTCTATGGGCCCAGTGATATGGAAGCAGTGCTGATAATCTGGGTAATTTCATATTGCGGAAACAGAGCTTTTTTGGCTTCATGTCAGGTCCATAGGAAATGTGCCAGGCTTTGAAGCTAATATCTACAGTGGCCAAAGAGCGTAATTACATATTCCTGTTCTGTCACCTGATGCCCTGCGGCCTGAAAAGACTTTTTCCCATTAACTTACAAGGCAGAAGAGATGTCTGTAAATCAGTAGATACATTTTTCTTCCACTATCAGGATTTGATCCATTCTGTCCGATAAAATTTGGAAAGTCTACAAGAGTTGCTTGACTGAATTATTTTATCCCTATTATTAGTTATTCATCCATTCATTCATTTTGCGTAACCGCTTATCCTGTTGGGGTTGTGGGGGGGCTGGAGCCTATCCCAGCTGACATTGGGTGAGAGGCAGAGTACACCCTGGACAGGCTGCCAGACTATCACAGGGCTGACACATAGAGACAGACAACCATTCACACTCACATTCACACCTATGGGGAATTGAATAGTCACCAATTAACTTCACCTGCATATTTTTGGACTGTGGGAGGAAGCTGGAGTACCCAGAGAAAACCCACACTGACATGGGGAGAGCATGCAAACTCCACACAGAGGGGCTCCCCCACCCAGGTTTGAAACCCCTGTCTTGCTGTGAGGTGACAACGCTAACCACTGCAGCACCGTGACGCCCCCTATTCAGGTTAGCGGCAAGTTAGCCAAAAGTAGTCGACAGCAGATCAGTCAGGTAATTTCATACATGACAGTTGAACCATTTTGGTTTCATGTGGCACTGAGCAACTTTCATAGGAATAAACGCTGTACCCATGTCTGTACGGTAAAAAACTAACAAACAAGAAACATGATTTTTCAGGTAAATGAATGAAAACATAGTTGTGAATATTCTGTACCATGTTTGCCAATAGATGCCCCTAAATCCTAGATAGTAAGTTAGTTATTTTATTGACACAAACAAATAAAATATTTGGATCCAAACAATAAACAAACAAACAAACAAAATCATATATAAGATAAACCCATTAGTAAAACACTAAAAGGTAATACAACTGACAACACAGAGGCCTGCTGGTGCTCAAGTACCACAAGACACACATGTAACATGACATCTGTCTTGCAGGCTCTTAGTATCAAAGTGAAAGTGTCCCTATCTTGCACACAGGTCGTGCAGGGAACCCACTGTACTGCACAATCAGCCAGCTCTGTCTTACACCGCCCTCCAGTGGCTGCTCTCTGTCATTACACTCACCATCGGCAGTAAACAGCGAGCAGGCTTCTTGGATGTGGTCATCATCCGTTATTCGGGATCAATAGGCCCGATCCGTGCAGGAGGCTGCGGTGTGTTTTAGGACCAGCGAGCAGCGACAGGGACCAGACCGGGCCGGTACCGTGATCCAGTCCGGGACGGTAGGTACCGAGCATCACTGCTGTCAATGTTGCTGTTTGGCACCGTTACGCAGAAACATGTAGGACCCGCCCTGAAAACAGACGGGTATGTCAAAATGGTATTCTTGCACATGTAATATTGCAGCAGCAGCTTGTAGAGAAGCAGAGTCCGGACTGTTTGTGCAGAACAGAATATGTCTTACACTTAGTCTGGCACCTGCTTTTGTTTTATAACATCACATGAGCTAAATGCTATCAGGCTGCTAAGAAGCTACGCACACACAAAGCGCAGGTTCTCAGATAAACACACTGTACCCTGCTGAGCTGACTGTCAGAGCTGTAAACGTGAATTATATCATTTAAAACGCATTCAGTGTTTGTTTACAATGTGTAAACAGATAATAAGGCCGAACCAACATGGCAGCAGCACAACAATGACTCAGTCAGGATAAAACAGCATGAGGTCATTTACTGGAGCTTCATTAATTATTAAACATGCAAACAAAACATGAGAATAAGACGGGTTTAGTCGCATTTACAACATTGTACAGTATTAGATTTCTTCAGGAGAGGAAGGTTTGATTTGAGTTTACAAAAAATCTCATGCTTAATAATCAAACTGAATTATTGATGTGCATAGTCATGTTACTACAGTAAACATACAAGCTCTGCATTTTATATGAGTGTATCACATGATCATGTAGCAACAGCTAAAACATGGCTGCATGCATGTTTTTAAAAATATCCTGAGCTGACAATGACCTCCTGAGACCCTGCGTCCTCATATCCTCCTGAGACCCGACTTTTTGTTTGGTATTTATTTCTCCTAGCTATTTGGGATCAGTAGGACCCGATAAGTATATAAAACTAAACATTGTCAATGATAATTAAGTCCCAATGTCCTCAAACAATACAACAATAAAGTCGCAATGTGTTGCCATATCAAACTACAAAAAATATTAATCATAAACAAGTTCCAATCATAAAGTGTGATCAGGTTTTGGACCTTGTCCACTTTTGTGTCGGGATCAGCTGCAAACTGACTTGGCAGAGATGGCTGCCATCTTGTTTTTTTGGATTAGTGTATTGTGCTCTTACTACCACTAGATGGCATAAAGAAAAGTGTCCATGAACGAGGACAACAGGTCTGAGTTAAGTAGAATGACGTATATGGTCAAGTAAACTCACCCTGTGTCCTCTCAGGAGGTTATGACGACATCACATTTTGGGTTTACATGACCTCATACTTCATTCTACTTAACTCAGACCTGTTGTCCTCGTTTGTGGACGCTTTTTGTGCCACCCAGTGGTAGCAAGAGCACAGTACACTAATCCATGTAAAAACAAGATGGCAGCCATCTCTGCCAAGTCAGTGTGCAGCTGATCCCGACACAAAAGTGGACAAAACCTGATCAGATTTTCCGGTTGAAACTTCCATCCATCCATTTTCTAACCGCTTATCCTCTTGAGGGTCGCGGGGGGGCTGGAGCCTATCCCAGCTGACATTGGGTAAGTAAGTAAGTAAGTAAATAAATTTTATTTATATAGCACTTCTCACAGAGAGGACTCACAAAGTGCTTCACAAGATAAAATACAAAAAATACAACAACAGAAACAATGCAAAATACACAAAAACAAATAAGTAAAGTGCAGTGAAATACAGAGATGATACAATGGACAATTAATGGAACGCAAGCCTAAACAGATGTGTTTTTAACTGCTTTTTAAAAATGTCCATGGAAGAGGCCGCTCTCAGCTCATGAGGTAGTGCATTCCACCATTTTGGTGCAATCACCTTTCGTCTTTAATCTTGTGTGAGGGACAGTAAGTAGGTGGCCTTCAGCGGACCACAGTGACCTGACAGGACAGTGAAAGGACACCAGGTCAGTCAAGTATGCAGGTGCTTGACCATGGAGGGCTCTGTAAATGATGGTTAAAATCTTGTGCTGGATCCTGAAATTAACAGGGAGCCAGTGTAAGGATGCCAGGACTGGAGTGATGTGAGTCAACTTCTGAGATCTGGACAGAAGCCTGGCGGCAGCGTTCTGGACTAGTTGGAGGCGGTCTAATGAAGTTTTACTGAGACAGGTGAAAAGAGAATTACAGTAATCTAGACGTGAGGAAATAAAAGCATGGATGATCATTTCTAGCTCGGAATAAGTTAACATGGATCTGAGTTTGGAAATGTTTTTGAGGTAGAAAAAGCGGGAGCGAGTGACAGTCTTGATGTGGTCATCGAAGAGCATGGCCTGATCAAATGTGACCCCAAGGTTTCTCAACTTGGGGCGCACATTTGCACTGAGGGACCCTAAGCAGCTGGCCACTGCTGAGGCGTCAGGTACAATAATTAAAATCTCAGTTTTAGCTGTATTCAACTGAAGGAAGTTAGTAGCCATCCAGTCCTTAATTACATTCATAAAATCGTACAGTGAGTCAATTCCATCGGTCCTATCAGGCTTAAAAGAAAAATATAACTGGAGGTCATCTGCATACATATGGTATGAGATACCTTCAAAATTGCTGATAACATCTCTGAGAGGGAGCATGTATAGAGTAAAGAGGATAGGCCCAAGCACTGAACCTTGGGGCACCCCACAAGAAAGGGGGGTAAACTCTGATTTATGAGGGCCAACAGCCACAGAAAAGGATCGATCAGACAGATAGGATTTAAACCAATGGAGGGCGGTCCCTGAGATGCGTACCCTGTCCCTCAGCCTGTCTAAAAGGATGTGGTGATCAACAGTGTCAAAGGCTGCACTGAGATCAAGCAGAACCAGGATAGTGGATTTACCGGCATCAGAGGCCATCATGATGTCACTGGAGACCCTGAGAAGAGCAGTTTCTGTGGAATGTAACTGACGATAACCGGACTGAAATTTATCTAAGATATTGTAAGTGTTCAACGCTGTCACTAACTGGTTTGCAACTGCTTTTTCTAGAATCTTAGATACAAAGGGCAACTTGGAAATGGGCCGGTAGTTACTAAGAACAGCGGGGGGGGTCCAGATTGGGCTTTTTGAGAAGCGGCTGAACAACCACTTGCTTGAAATGGGACGGGACACGACCAGAAACCAGTGAGCTATTGATTATGGAGAGCAGAGATGGACCAATAATCAATAACCAAAGATCTCAAACAGCTAGGAGAAATTAAAAATGCACACCAAACAAAAGTTCAAGTCTCAGGAGGATAATTATAAGATTTCCTCCTTCAATCCATGATTAGTTTTGACTGATTCATTTGCCCCACTGTTTCTCCAGCATTATTGTCTTATCTGATGAATGCAGTCATCTATCGTTTATTAATGACTAGAGCATATTTGTGAGCGCTATAGATGCTGCCATCATCTTCCAGTAAAACATTAATGAACCCTGGGCGGTGCCAATGCTACAGTGAGCTTCTACATCTCATTGTCTCTTTCTGATTTTCCCGTGCATCCTGTCTTTAACCTGCTCATCTTGTTTGCAGGAGAACACACTGTTCCCCACTGCACCAATAACTCAACTCAGCTCGGGCGTCGGTGTCACCATGAACTCCTGGACCACATCTGCTGCTCTGCTGTGTCTGCTGGCGTGGGCCGCGGCAGCCGTTCAGACCCCCGAGTCAGGTGAGAACCAGATGGGTCTGTAGAGGTCGACGATGGTGTAGTCTGAGCTCTAGAGACACAAAAGAGAAATGAGGAATTAAAAGGAGGTCAAGCTGATTACATGACATGACAGAGTCTCTTTGCTGTTTTAAAGACCTTCAGGGTGGTGGCGTTATCAAATAGGAGCTTTATTCTCAGCGGATGAGATGCTGCACATCTGGGTTAGTTTAGTTCTGTTCATTGGTTGCACATTTGCTTGTTTCTGCCCAGTTTAAAGGTACAACCTGTTCTTAGGTAGCATCTTCAAGATGTTTATACTTAAGATTCTGTTAAAGTATGTCTGAAACCTTAGTATGAATCCAGTCGTATAAGACTTGTGCACTATTTCTAGTAACATATTATGGTATGCAAAAACCCGGAGCACTGTGCCTGCATACTGTACATGTCCCACAATGCAATGTGGCAGACAACAATGTTCATGACAGACAATGGAGGACAGCGACATAGACAACTCAGTAATTTCTATAACGCCACAATTTCAGTGTAAATATAAGATTTCACTTTGCTAGGTGTGATGTATTTTTAAGTTATTTTAAAACTGCAGACAGATTTGAGGTGGGCTCGGGTTACCATGGTTACGTGTCCCCAACCAGCAAGGACGCTCTCAGGAAGTGACGTGGGAATTACAGCTCAATGCGTCTGAAAAAATACATGCTACTCTTTATTTCCACAAAAGAATGAACGATATTTAATCTGCCTGATATTCTCTCGATTTATTTTTTGGTTTATGAAATGATTTAGTTAACAATGAAAAAAAAAAACAGATAAAGCATCAAATAATCACATTTGAAAGCAGAAACTAAAAAACATTCAGCATTCTTACTTGACAATGACCTGAAGAGTGAGACAGCGATTCTGGAGAACAATTGTTGACAAAGTTCCGGAAGTTCAGCAAGTTAGCACGCGATTTACCTCTCTGTTCCCACTACCACTGTTTTTATACATCCAAGGCCTTTCCCCTGTCCTGTGCATGAGCATGAGCATGAACGCTTCTGTTGGTGTTGGAATAGTGTCGTGTAGCTTGGTTCGAGCCACTTTGTTTGTTTCCCATTTACAGAAAAAGGCAGTGTATGAACATCAGAGTTTATTCAGCGCACACACAGAACAGACAGCGAGCTGTTTGTGAGGAGATATTAGCCAAATTTGACAAAAAGTATTGTATTTGAATTGCTGACAGCACCTTTAAAGGAGCAGTGTGTAGGTTTTAGTGCCATCTAGTGGTGAGGATTGTAGATTACAACCAGCTGAAACCTCTCCCATGAGCCAAGTGTAAATTCCCGGTCAGGATTCCTTCAGTGTTTATTGTTAGGGAGGTTTTAACCAGGATCCAAATTATCCGCAGAGGTGTAGATACAAACAAAAACACAAAGATTTTTTTTATTTTCGGGTCATTTTACACTTAAGAAAACATACACTTTACAGTTGATTATTTTTCTGGCAATTAATAGCTACTATATGTCACTATTTTAGAATCTCTTAAAAACTGGTATTGCTAATGACACAAGATCTGCACAGCTTCAAGTCTTGAACAGGTAAAGGTCAGTCATGAGCCAGCTGAGACATTAACTGTTCCTCCAGTGTTCCTGGACAAGCAGCGGGCGAGCTCGGTGATCGCCCGTCAGAAGAGGAACGTTGGCGGCGGTAACCCTCCCAGCCTGGAGCAGGTTTGCATGGAGAAAGTGTGCAACTACGAGGAGGCTAGAAAGATCTTCCAGGACTCGTACCGCACTGTGAGTTACTCCCTCCTCTGTGCCTCTTTGTTTTGTCTTGATCTCAGCCTGCATTTTGTCATGAATGCACTGTGTGAATGACCTCATGCAGCTTCAACTGTTCACTTATCATGCATATTTTCTCCCGCAGGATATTTTCTGGTCTGTCTACATTGGTAAGTGCTGCATTAAAGTGCTTTTCCATCACTGCACAGTCATTAGCAGTACAATTGATCTTCTCACAGACTTACTGTTTGTGTTTAGATGGAGACCAGTGTGCAGAGAAACCCTGCAAGAATGGAGCCATGTGTTCGGACAGCGTGGGAGGCTACGACTGCGTCTGCAAGTCGGGTTTCTCAGGGGTCCACTGTGAAAAAGGTGAGGAGGAGGCATCCGCAAGTTGTGCGTGATGGCCAACATTAATCCACTTGTTATTTGGCATGTGAGTGCTGCAACCTTACCCCTGTGTGTCCACGGTGCAGATGAGACTCTGTGCACGCTGGAAAAGAACAAAGGCTGCTCCCAGTTCTGTAAACCAGGCTACACGTCCTACGAGTGCTCCTGCGCCCACGGATGGAAGCTCAGCAACACGGACAGGGAAAAGTGTTTGCCTGCAGGTACGTCTGTTTCCAGTGTTTGAATCCAGCTGGAATTAAAATGCATTTCAAGTTATTCATTGTCATGAGCACAACAATTACCAAGAAGCAGTCATTGGAAATCTCAGGTTAAATATGCAAATATGCATAAAAAGAAAATCAAGAAAAAATGAGACTCTAAGGCAGAAGATAAATGATAAGGTATATAAGATATAAAATAAAATAGTTGTGGTACACAGGTGTACAGTAATTGCAAAATGAAATCAAATCCTTGCATGTACATCAGCGCTGACTGTCTCGCTGAGCCAGACAACAGCCTGCGACGCAACACAAAAGCCACAGAATTTGATCAACAACCCACATTAGCATTCCTGCTAAAATCTCCTTCTTCTCCAACTTAGAAACATAAAGTCCTGCATCTCAGCTTAAAATGGATTTTTGTACATCACTGCACCTTGGCAGGTTGACACTGCAGTTTGAGGTAGTATCTAGATTAGGTTATAGTTAGGCGTAGCAGAGGTATCTGTCAAGTTAACCATCTCAGTAGACAGTGGGTTGGGCTTAGAGTTAAAGGGACAGTTCAACCCGAAATCAAAAATACATACCGTTTCTCTTACCTGTAGTGCTTTCTATCAGTCTAGATAGTTTTTGTTTGAGTTGCTGAGTGTTGGCGATATCAGCCATAGAGATACCTGCCTTCTCTCAAATATAATGGAACTAGATGGCACTCAGCTTGTGGTGCCTAAAGAGCCCCAAATAATACATTTAAAATACTCAACAGCAATGTCTCTTTCCAGAAATCATGACCTGGTTACTCAAGATAATCCACAGACCTTGTTGTGAGCAGTTTCATGTGGGAACTGTTTCACTGTCTATGTGTTTTCTCCTCACCTAAATCTGAACCGATCCTTAGCTAGCCCCAACCCTTTTTTTTCCTCTTTTAATAATAAAAAACTTCTAACAGTACATTGCAAAAAAAGATGACTAAATGTGATTTCAGCAGGAGAAATAATGTTTTGAAAACCATCTACCTTTCTTCCCTCAGTCACGTACCCCTGTGGTAAGGTGCACACTCTGAGTCGGTGGGATGACAGACTGTCCAGCAATGTTCGCAGCAACTTTGAAGGACTTACCTGTTCTTCTTTGGAGTGTCCCTGGCAGGTAGGAACACTCAAACTATGAGAGATCACAGGTCACGATAAACCAGAGTCTTACGGCTGCTCGCCATTGTGTTGTTCTCAGGCTCTTCTGAAGAGCACAGAGTCCGAAGGTTACTGTAGCGGCGTCATTCTGAAGGAGAACCTGGTCCTGACTTCAGCTCAGTGTGCCAACAAATACAACTCCTTCCAGGTGGCTGTCGGTAAGTAGACAAAACACATAACCATTCCGTCACTACTGTTACTGCTAGAAATATTCTATACTGCTAATAAATGAAGCAACATTTAATGCTGCAACAGTTATATACAAACAAAAATCAACTGAAATAGGACATCGCACAGTATGAAATAACACCCATCATCCCCAAACAAATTTCACTTAAAAATGCCAAATATCTTCAAAAAAGGGCTGTACCCTACAAAATACATACAATGCCATTTTTTTTTAATTCAGAAAACTGTATACAATGTGGAGATTATACATGTCAAAGTTCACCTCTTCTGTTTCTGAGCTCTGAAATATTTTGGACTGAGCTGCACTGAAACCAAATCACAGTAGATGTTTTAAAAACATAAATTAAATATTTGTATAATGAATTATTTCAAAAAACACTGTTAATGCATCTTTTAAGCATAAACACAGCACAGGTTAAGAGAAAGGCTATTCTACTACACAGTTTTTGAATGTTAAATGCTATGAAAGTCAGAGACGTCAGTGACAAATGATCACAGTTTACAAAAGGTCCACATGTCAATCCTGCATCTAACAATTATTTCTACCAATTAAGATGCTGATTATTTTCTCAAATTAATCCATTAATTGCCATAAAATGTCAGAAAATAGTGAAAAATGCATGTTGTAATTTCGTAGAGCTTAATTTGATGTCTTTAAAGGAGCAGTTTGTAAGATTTAGGGAGATTTAGGCCCAATCCCAATACCCCCCCTTGTCCACTACCCCTTAGCCATTAGCCCTACCCCTAGCCCTTGCCCACTACCCCTTGGCCCTCGAAATGAAGCAACAAGGGGTAGGGGTTGAAATCTTTCCCTAGGAATTGGCACACCACTCAATACGTCACAGCGTCGGTTATGTTCACGCATACGTAACTATTTTAAACAGGAAGCTGAGAGCCATCTACATTTACAACCAGTATCTACAATGGAGTCTCTGGTTGAGTTCATCCTACCTATCGCATTTGCTGTATTCATCATGCTTCGTTTGATGAACGACAGACGACAGGGGACTTCTGATAGCTTGCTAGGTAGTTAACCAGCTAACATTACGAGGCAGCATCGTTATACTAGCTGGCATGTTATCGTAATGTGAAAAAATCTGACAACTTTGCAGAACAGGACAGATGACAGATGCCAGATAGTGCGAACAAGCTAGCTAGCTAGCTAACAAGCAACCTGATGACAGTAACATTAGCTGTGTATGAACTTTTTTCCCCGTCTCTTGCTCGGTGGTAGCCATGGCGACGTCTACCCCTCGCTGGCAAGTCAGCATCTGAAATCCCTCGCTCCGAAGGGCTAGTTTCATACCCACTACCCCTCGTTATGCCCCCTACCCCTAAACGCAAAAAGGAATTGGGACACCACTACCCCTCACGGGAACGCGCAAATGTAGGGATAGGGACAAGGGGTAGGGCTAAGGGGGGGTATTGGAACAAGCCCTTAGTGGTATCTAATGGTGAGGGTTGCAGATTTCAACCATCTGAAACTTCTCCAGATTATATAATCCCTTCGGTGACCTTCTTCCTCTCCAAAACAAATAGAACAGGTGATTCAAAAAAGTAAAACCACGTTACAAATAAGTGTTTCTTCTATGCTGTTCGGCTTGTCATCGACAGGCTGTACGTCTAGGGCCTGCTATGTGTGCTCACCCTTGTTCTCTTATATCTTAATATTTGCTCACCTTTTCAAACACTGAATTAAGCAGTGTCACGTTACAAATCATTGTTTCTTTGACGCTGTTTGGCATTTCAGAGCCAGGCCGTTTGCCTAGCACCTGCTAATGTGTGCTCATTTTTTTTTCTCTGATAACCTAAGATTCAAACGTTCAGAGGGTTTTTACAGTGAGCCAAATTATCCGCAGAGGTCTCTTCCTCTCCAAAACTAGTGGACCCCGTAATTTAAACTGGTAAAAGAACCCTAACCCTAACCACCATGTCTAATCCTAACCAATTCAACCAAGGACGGCAATGAGTACTAGCCAATCGAAGGGAGTGAAGAGCAGGGCATTCCTTCGCTATCCTAGGATTTGTAAATTTGCATCGCAGAGCAGCTTCTAACTAAGGTGACCAACACGTAAATGCGAAAAGCTGTCTAGAGCCAGTGTTTGGTTTGTCTGTTCTGGGCTACTACAGAAACTAGATCTCGATAAACAAGGGCCAGCTCCCTACGTAGATATAAACGGCTCATTCTAATGTAACAAAAAAAAAAAAACAATTCTTATTTTCAGGTGATTAGACACCAAATAAAACATACTCACTATATTTCACTTCTGCCCATATATCCTCCTAAGTCCTACACAGTGGACCTTTACATGTCTTGTTTTGCCCAATCATCAGTCCAAAATCAGAAAATATTCAGTTTCTACAGACAAGCTTTAAATGTTCACATTAAGAAGCTGCAGCCAGAAAATGTTCAGCATTATTGCCCAGAGATTACTGAAATGACTACTCGACTATCAAAATAGTTGTCAATTAACTTGTTGTTCAACCAGTCATTGCAGCGCAACATGTCAGCATGTGTGCATGAGCTTGAGCAATGCCATCATCCCAAATGTCTTGTCTTACCTGCACCTCCTCAGGCAAGCGCACCATCAGCCATGACCCTGGAGAGCAGGTGCTGTACGTGAAACTAGTTCACATCCACCCGCGCTACGTGTCAGGTAGCCCAGAAAATGACCTGGCTGTGATTGAGCTCCGTGATCGCATCAGGTTTATGAAGGATGTGGTTGCTGCCTGTGTGCCAGAAAGAGACTTTGCGGAGAGCATCCTGATGAACGGAGAGTTCCCGGCCATTGTCACCGGCTGGAAAGAATCAAATCCGGCAGCTGCTTTCCAGGGCCAGCTAAAGCTTAACCAACTGGCGTACAACCGCCTGCCACAGTGTCTGGAGACTCACCCCAACCTGATGACCAATAAAATGGGCTGCACTACTCCCCGGACCAACGCTGACTGCACCATGAGCTCCGGCAGCCCCTTACTCACCCTGTACAGGGAGGTGTTCTTCCTTACTGGGGTGGTCAGCCAGCCTCCAGGGGCTGACTGCAACAAAGGGTACATCTTCCAGAAAGTGTCTCGCCACCTCGGCTGGCTGCGGTCTCTCATGGGTTCACGTTAGGCAGGGTAGTCAGGGAGAACATGGAGGTTATTAGTAATGGAAAATATATTATAATGCAGGTACTTAAAGCAGGGAATCAGATGAACATTTTCATCAAGCATATCTAGCTCAACCTTTGTTTCATCCTCTGTCTTTTAACAATATCCATCTCTTATAGGAACAACTATACCAACCATATAGTCACAGTCAAGGATTCCTATCTGTCTCTGTGGACTTCCTTATTTATCCACAAGATGGCGCTCTGTTAACATAAACAGAGACGCACTTCATGTACGAGTCTGACAACCAGAGGGTCAGAGGCAGCAAGAAGTACAATGAATTATTCAGCATGTGTTTTGTGATGTGGACATACCTTTTAATAACCTATATGTGATGATATTTTAGGTGACTACTGTACTGATTGACATGCACCTTGTAACACTCCAGGTATTCACTGTTCTATGAATGTAATAAATCCTAACAACACACCTGATGTCTGCTCTGTCATTGAGAGTATATGTACTAGTTCTTAAAGATTGAACATTTGGAAATACTATTGGATATAATGAGCACATGTCACAGTAGATATACTGTAAGTAGATGCATCGTAGACGTTTTTAAGGGGGTCATCAGACGTAAAAACATGGACACTAGCGGACAGGAACAACAATAGGCAATAAATAAACATCAACAAAACAATCTAAAACCACTGAAAACAATATTTGACTAGACGTAACGCCTCATAGTTGTATCCCTCCGCCTACCAGCCAAGTTACAGTTCATATCCTTGTCTGTCCAGACTCATATGTAGCCATGACAGTTCACAGTGCTTCAAACATGGATGTTGCAGAAAGAAGCCACATATTCCAAAACATGGATGCCTTACACACATCTTTACCCCGGCAGCCCAGAAAATCTGTGGTATCTGCATGGCTTTGAAAAATGGCCAGAAAAGCGTTTTGGAGAATGTTATGATGTCACAGTGAAGTTGACCTTTGACCTTTTGGATATAAAATGTTATTTTGACATAATTAGCGTATGGATTTGTAAATTCTGGCCAAAAGCATGTTTTGTGAGCAGGGTTGGGAAAATTATTCTTGACATGTAATAGGTTACCGATTACTAGCTCCACTGTTGCAACACATTACATTCAGTAACTTTTCTGTGGGGTGTAAATCAAAAGTTTTATCAGGATACGATTTAACACTGATTCTTTGGACAGCGATACAATATTTGCTGATATCACAAAGTCTGCTACGATAGTTTTTGATTCGATTCAATTCAGGGGCCTGCGTTATGTCCCTGCGTGACAGTGAAAGGCTACACAGCCAGAGGCCACTATCAGAGGCAAGTTCTGTCAATAACTGGTTAAGGCTGTAAAATGTCCTATTGATCAACTGGCCAAACCGATAAATTAGTTGACCTCTAAACAAAACTGCTGGACAAGTGACAAAATGATGGATGGATGTGCGTACCACTTCTTATTACAGTCCATCTGATAGCTGTTGGGACATTATGCTCAAAAACACAAATGTCAACCTGACTGTGGCACCACAGAAAAAGTCAGAGGATCATCAAAGTCACATGGATTCATCTTCTGGGGAAGAAAATTCGTTGAAACCTCAGCTAATTGGCTTAATTTCTTTTAAAAACATGGGAAGAAGAAGGCAATGACCAATGTAGGCAAGGCAAGGCAAGGCAAGGCAAGTTTATTTGTAGAGCACAATTCGTACACAAAGTAATTCAAAGTGCTTTACAGAACAAGAAAATGCATTAAAATCACAATACAAAATAAAAACATAAATAATCATTATAAAATGAACTTTAAAAGAGAAGAGTGCAGATAAGATCCTTTCAGTCATGTGCACAGTGAAATAGAGCTGTTTTGAGCCTAGATTTGAACATTGTCAGAGTAGAGGCCTGTCTCACATCTTCAGAAAGACTGTTCCAGATTTTAGCTGTATAAAACTGGAATCCTGATTCCCCATGTTTAGTCCTGACTCTGGGCACCAGCAGGAGGCAGGTCCCTGAGGTCCTCAGAGTCCGAGATGGTTCATATGGCACTAACATGTCAGAGATGTACTTTGGTGCTAGGCCGTGGAGAGACTTGTACACAAGCAGAGCTGCTTTAAAGTCTATTCTCTGAGCCACAGGAAGCCAGTGTAGAGACCTGAGCACAGGACTAATGTGCTCGTACTTCCTGGTTCTGGTCAGGACCCGAGCAGCAGCATTCTGGATGTACTGCAGCTGTCTTACGGCCCGTTTGGAGAGGCCAGTGAGCAGGCCGTTACAGTAGTCTAACCTACTAGAGACAAATGCATGGATCAGTCTCTCCAAGTCAGGTTTAGACACTATACCTTTGATTTTGGCAATGTTTTTTAGATGGTAAAAAGCTGCTGATGTTATTGATTTGATGTGGCTGTTAAAGTTCAAGTCTGAGTCCATTATTACCCAGAGATTTCTAACCTGATTTGTAGGTTTTAGAGAGAGAGGCTGGAGGTGACTGCTGACACTTTCTCTTTGTTTCTGTGGACCAAATACGATGACTTCAGTCTTGTCTGAATTTAGCTGGAGAAAGTTGTTTTGCATCCACACACTGACCTGTTGGATGCAGTGACAGAGTGAATCCACTGGCCCATATTCACCTGCTGTCAGTGAGACATAGATCTGATTGTCGTCTGCATAATTGTGGTAGGACACATTATTACTTTGTATTAACTGGCCTAAAGGCAGCATGTAGAGATTGAACAGAAGGGGTCCCAGGACTGACCCTTGGGGCACCCCACAGGTCAAGGCCATGTGGTCTGAGACACAGTTACCAATTTCAACAAAGTACTTCCTGTCTTCTAGATAGGACTCCAACCAATTTAGGGCAGTGCCAGAGATGCCCACCCAGTCCTCTATGTAAGAAGAAATGACCCAAAAAATTAGCAAGAAATTAGTAAAAATAGAAAATTAAACACAAGAAAATTAGTAAAGAAAGATTTAAAAAATTATAATAATTATGTAACATTATTTTAAAATGTAATAATAATAATAATAATAATAATAATAATAATAATAATAATAATAATAATAATAATAATAATAATAATTAGCATTATACATTTATTTTTAATTTTAATTAAATTTGAATCAAATTTTATTTAAAACTTATTTTTTCCCTGGCTTTTTTCATTTTCCCTGTTTTTTAAATAATTTTCTCATTCATTTTTTCCCCTATTTGTGGGCCACTTCTTTTTTTATTGTTTGTTTTTTTTGAGATATTTTTTGAGGCATTTTGCCTTTTAATGGACAGGAGATGTAGACGAGGGGGGGGGAGACATGCAGCAAAGGGTACAGCTGCGGCAACAGCCTTGTACATGGGGTGCCTGCTCTACCCACTAAGCCACCGACGCCCCGTGGGGCACTTCTTACCAAGTTGCTCATTGCCTTTTGATCCCCATGTTTTTGAAGGAAATCACACCAAAAGTTAAAGGAGCAATAAGTGAAATTCATCATTTCTAGATAGAAGGAATTAAAAAATTGCTATGTGAAGAACTAGAGTTGTAATTTCATCTGGAGTATAGCATGACGTCACACACCCTCTCTCTGTGTTGATCTCCAGCCCATTGTTTATAAGCCGGTCCGGCTGCGCATTCATGTACGTTCATGTGAATTCCCCCCCCCCCGGAGCCCTTGGCCCTCCCTCCCTATAAAAGGCTACAGCCAGTGAGCAATGGCAGCGCATATTTTCGAAATGAAATGGCAGAGAGCGGAAAGAAACCGGAACTAACCGGTGCTTCCTCCTCAGGCTCCACTTCCCTTAGCTGCCCCACAGATCCGCTGCCTCTCCCACTTTAACATCAATAACAATCCGGAGCTAGCTGGGAGCAGCTGGCGAGGCGTTAGCCGCAGCATGACCGGAGGGAAGCACAGCCAGTTAGCCTCCGCTAGCTTCCCAACTAGCCCCGGCTCTCTGTTTGAATCCAACCGGAGCACCGAGCCCTGGTTTGTCGTACAGGTTAATGTGGGAAGAAGCAGCGGGTTTATCGGGCAGCTGAGTGAAGCTGGGTGAAGTGGAGGCTGCGGAGGAAACACCGGGATGGGTTAATGTCCGGAGCTTGAGCAGCCCGTGAGCCAGGCGGGCAGCCTGGCGGGCTCTAGCCGACCCGGCTAGTGCTAACACCGGGAGCTAACTCTAACGTTCCTACTCTTCTCTCTGAGTGAGAGCGATGTTTTAGCCTAGCAGGCAGCCTGCGAGCCAGGCAGGCAGCCTGGCGGGCTCTAGCCGACTCGGATCCCGGCTAGTGCTAACACCAGGAGCTAACGCTAACGTTCCTACTCTTCTCCGTGAGTGAGAGCAATGTTTTAGCCTAGCAGGCAGCCCGCGAGCCTGGCGGGTTCGCGGGCTGCTCAAGCTCCGGACATTAACCCAGAGAGCAGAGGTAGAGAGAGGTGTGGCTCATGACACACTTTGTTTTGGTCTACAGGCAGTGCACAACAGCGAACCTAGCGGTGAAACGATTTCGCTTTTTGCCCCTTTAAAGGGTTTAAATATTTGTGAAAGGAGTCTGAAAGCAGTACAAGAAAAGTGATGTCGCTCCAGGTTTCAAAGGGTTAATGGCAATCCGTGCAGTAGTTGTGGAGATATTTCAGTCTGGACCAATGTGGTGGACCAACTAACTACCTTTGCCATGTCTAAGGCTGCTAGCATGCAGAAGAAAACAAAATTAGTCACAAAATTTTCTCCATTCTGATGTTGAATTTGATTTAAAGGCTGTTTTATTTCTGTTTATACCTGTCGTGCGTGCACCAAGAGTAAAGCATCAACTTTGCAGCTCTTAGTGTCAAATGTAGCTCTGAAATCTCTCTGAACTAGCAGTACATTCCCTTTTTGTCCCAGACAATATTAGCTCGCCTTCACTGTCACATACCCCTGTGTTGTCTGGCAATATTTTCCCACAGACACTCGCCCTCTGCAGTCTTCTCACAGCCTCCCTGGTGAACAAGGCCAGGACCGTGTCATGCAGGGAGAGAAAAGGAGAGGCAGAAGAATGGCCAAAAGAGAGCGAGAGTAAGAGACGCCACATAACAAAAAATCCTGGCCTGCCACTTCTGATCGGGCGCTTGAAAAGGACAGCTCTGAAAGCTGGGGCCCAAGTTGGCTGTTGCCATGGTGCTCACCTAGGAGATGGCTCCTTGCTCCCAAAAATGGCTCTGCTCCTTTACTGGGCCGTCCAGTGGAGATTAATTTGAGTGGAGCTCCTTCCTTCCTGAGTCTGGTCCTGCTCTCTGGTCCTGCCAGCTCCATTTATATGCTCAGCCTTACATATACACAGAGACGCACTTAAACACACACTGAGCAAGGTAGCAGCTACACTTCAATGTGCTCTGAGCTGTTGAATTCAGGCTGTTTTAAACTCCTCTTTAATGTAGCACTTAAATATCAAAGAGCAACTGTATTGGTTTGATTCTATTCCCTGAATGAAACCTAAAATCTGAGCAAATGGG